ACCTACTCACGTGAAAGGCGAGGTAAGTGAGCTATCTCATCATTTATCTATCTTCGTTCTAACTCTGTCTTTTGGAATTTTTGTAGACCGGTAATGATCCGCGATTGTTCAGGTGTAAGTGGTGCCAAGTGACCTTCACGCGTGGTCTTCGCACCCACTACAACCTGTATGCTCACCGGGACGGAGCAAAGGGCAGATCTGCGTGCCCTCGACGAGCTCATGCCATCCGGGCTGGCTGCGATCTCCCTCCATCATGGGCTCAAGAACAAGCTGCTGTGGTAGCTGGTTCAAACGAACTCAACGGCCAACAAACTCTCGACTCTTTCCTCTCCCAAGCCACCTTTAGCATTGAATTATTCAACACCGTCCTCGTCATGTGGATACTTAAGCATGCCCTTCCTTTCAACCGTTTCTACGACCTCCCTCTTCGTGCTGCCTTCAAACTAGCCAACCGACGCGCTGATCTACGGTCCCCAACCTGGGCTGCTGGTGTGGCAAAGGAATTGTATGCTAGCTTGAGCTCAGCCGCTGTCTCTTTGGTCTCAGTAAGTCTTTACTCACTACTTTTTATCAATTCTTGTTCTGATATCTCTGATTTGCCATCCTAGGAGAACTCGGGCAAATTCTCATTATTGCACGATGTTTGGACCACTAAAGGGAACCGTTATGCCTTTATTGGTGTCTCGGCAAACTTTATCGACAAGGATTGGAACTACCGAACGATCCACCTCACCTTAAAGTTGATCGCTTGGAATAAATTTGGCTATTTACTTGCTCAGCCTGTGGCACGCTTCTTGATAGCGCATGGCCTCCATAAAAAGATATGTTTCTCTTTATCTTTTTCTCTTCATCTTTTCTTTGCTTCATCTCCTCATACTTGACTGACATGCTTCAATTTTGGTATTATTACATTCTAGGTCAGACTACTGATTCCGGTTCGAATAACAACACTATGGCACGCGAGATGGAGGTCTTGTTTTCAGAATGTGATGACCCAGTCGATTCGGATTCCCAAAAAAACCATGTTCGATGCTACGCCCATAAGCTGGGATTGGTCGTCAAGAAAGGTTTGAAACTTTTAGGACTGGCAGCCGGTCACATCAAACCAACCACTCCCCCCAACACTTCCGTTCCTATTCCTACCGTCATTCTCAACGATGATCTAACCGACACAGCCATCAACTACGATGAGTCTGACGACGATGATGATGTCCCAAATCATCATGGCCATTTCACCGGTGGAGATTCAGACCCGGATGACTTGGATTTGGATGATGATCCAACGTATGAGGATACCCCTACCGATGGATGTATTGTGGTACGGGCTGCGATGAAGGTGAAGTTTCTCTTCTTTCCATCTCTAACTCTGTGTTGAGAACAATCACTGACATCAATTTCCTCGTAGCTGAAAGAGTTTAATGCTCTGCTAACTCGCAGTAATGCTCGGCGAGGCGAATTTCAAGCCCGAGCAGCTCAAATGGACTACCATGGCCCATCTCCAATAGCTGGTTGGGGTGTTCGATGGAATATCGACCTTGCAATGTACTCCCACTTGGTGGCTGGTCGAGATGTGAGTTTTATTCATTCCTCTCCTCTGTTTCTTTAAGACTTGTTCACTGACTAGCCTTACCTAAATGTCCCAGGTTGTTGATTCGATCCTCATCGCCAATCGAAAATGCAGATATTACGGAGGCATTATGATGACCATGGATGAGTGGGATGCGATTGAATCGTTCTGCAAGGTTTTAGAAGTAAGTAGTTTGTTTATTTTCATTTATTCATCAAATTACTGAAACTTCCTTAATCTTTATGTACACAGGTATTTCGTTGCTCAACCAAACGTATGGAAGGCAACATCTCCTCAGGATCAATGGTTTTGGCAGAATATCTGCGAGTCTACGAAGCATTGTCTGACTTAGGCAACATCACGCCATTTCCAAGCCTCAAATCTATGGTAGATGTTATGTTAACCCAGCTCATGAAGTACCAGGCTGAAGCAGTTGCAGCCGATGTGATAGTTATTGCCACCATCCTCAACCCCAAGTATCGTGTCAAATTCTTTGACATACACTATCCCAACCACGCTCGACGAGCTAAGAGTCTTGTTGAAGAACTCGTCAATGATACATTAGATTCTTGGCCGCCAACACCACCCTCTACCCCAATTCCAGTCCCTACACCTGCTTCACATGAACCATTTGACCAGTTCGATATCTTTGCTTCGTCTGCAACCATTCAAACACCCGAATCGACACGAGCTTCGGAACTCAAGTCCTACCTTTCGGGCAATCACCCGTTTGTCCCTGGTCAATCAGAGCTCTCTTGGTGGAGTGTAAGTCTTCTATCTTACTCACATATCACTACATCTTCTGATCCTTGCTACCTTCACTGTGACAGGAGAATGAAACAAACTACAAGGTGCTTAGTTCATTGGCCCGTGACTTCCTGACCATCTCAGCCACCACATGCGCCCAGGAACGGACCTTTTCTTCGGCAGCTGATATCGCCATTCCCGGTCGAGGTTCCCTCAAGCCCAAGACAATCTCACGCGCTGTTGGATGTAGAGAATGGTTGAGATCGGGTATCATCACTGAGGCGGAGGACAAGTTCTCTGATGCACTTACTTATCTTTCTACATTTGAACAACACACGCGCAACAAATGAAGACTATGTTTATTATCTTACTGTCTTGTTTTATTTCTGCTTTCTGTTAGTCTCACTGATCTGATTTTTATCTTACTTTACTTAAATTTCAAGTCACTCCTTTTCGTTTCGTTTCAAATTTATTTATTATTCATTTCTCTAGTTCTGTGTCTTCCCTCTGACTAATATTCAATGCTTATATAGTCTTTGTTTTCTTATTCCTTTCTCTTTTTGCTCGTCTAATTGCTACTTCAGTTATCTTGTCACTCGTTAATTTCCTACTCTGAATTTTCCCGCTTCTTTAGCTTTCTAGTCGCTCTTTGATATCTACTTTATATATGATAATTGATCTCATTTTCTTCTATCGTATTGTACATACATTTTATTTCGCATGTGAATATAAAAAAAATTGTGAATATAATACCTCGCCTCGTGCCGCTCTGTTGCCCGGATTTTTGACGAAGCGGAGCAAGAGCGGCACAAAAAGCCGCCACGCTTCCCTACACCACAAACCCCCCAAGGCGGGTTTTCAACCGAGGGTCCAATCGGTTGATCCGCTGAATTTCTCTGGTGGTGACCCACGCTTTTAAAACCGCTGGTATCCAAGCCGCTTTGAAGCTGTGGAGTAAGGTGGTGGACTTGGTATGGCTCTCCATCCATTTCTCAGCCGTGGTTCACATATCCCGATTTTAAACCATGGTATCAAACAAATGATAAACGGGTGCAGATCCAAGCATACTGCTGCTCTTGCACTCCTATAAAAATAGTAGGCTCATTGTGATTTTGTGCCAGCACACAATTCTTAGTCTTAAATTCCACATTAACAATACAAAATGACACATAACATACAAAGGAAAATTAGAGATGAGAGAAAAATCTAATTCATTATCTAAGCTACAATAATGTTGTGCAGATCCAGATTACCACATCATTATTCCTCTTCTTCCTCCTCTTCTTCCTCCTCTTCTTCCTCCTCCTCTTCTTCTTCTTCTTCTTCTTCTTCTTCTTCTTCTTCTTCTCCGCCTTCCTGTACAAACAACTCGTGTTCAACTTCATTTTCAGCAACATCGTCTCCAAACAGCTCTGTCAAATTCTGTACACGAGCAAACAGCTCTGTCAAATTCTGTACACGAGCGAGGATGCGTTTGTCTGAGGGCATATTAAATTTATTTTTTATTTTGTTTGATTTGATTTGTGTGAAATTTTGCTTCCCGTTGAAAAACTCGTGATCGTCATGCAATACGCACAAATAGAAACTGAAATAAATAAAATGGGTCCTTTCAGTGTATGATCTCACTCTCAGAGAGAAATAGTGGGACAGACGCATAACGGTATCGAAGAGGTTTTCGGCGTAAGTGTTCCAGCTTCTGGTCAACCACATTCCAGAACGTTTTCTTTGGATAATCCGCACTGTATAAGCCCCAGTGGACCGCTTGTAGCCTCTGTGTTGATGATAGAATTCAACCATTAATGCTGATGTCTCAATGTGTAATTCAGGTGCAATAGAAAAGTGAACTTACCAGCCAGGCAAACCGCGCTTCTTGCAAATGATTCACTTCTGCAAGAATCTCCTCGCGTACACATACTGGCCCTGCATCTGAGCTTTTGGCTTTTTCATAAAGCTTGTTGATGAAAATTCAGGTGAGCTGGCGGCTATATTGATCAGGAGAATTAAATGACTGACCTTGACAATCATCGATTTCACTTTTGGGACATTACCATCGGTAGCAAGTGCATTATGTTGGTTTGGTATCTCGATGTTGGTGAGAATCTGCGAGAAAGAATTTCAGAGGAGAAATATGAAAGCTAGGCATAGAGAAGAACTTACAATGTCGTTAGTTTCTTTCCTGATATCTTTGAGTACGGAATTGATCACTTTGCGAAGTGAAGAAGCAGCCGTAGGGTCCGGATCACTGCCATAGCCGGGCGGCAAAACACGACGCTTCCACTTGTTGTTTTTGGACAAAATGTCACTCTGGTATTGTGTCAGTTTGAATCTTCAAGTTTAACATAATCGATCAACTTACTAAAACTTTGGCGAATAGGGATAAAGGCAAGTTGCCTTTATTACCAAGCCTATCCTTTTTGGTGGTGTATGCTTGTATATCACCACACAAAATGGCTTGAGTTGCCAATAATCGAATACATCCCTTGAATGGATGTCCAAATTCGTGGACACACACAGATATAACGTAAGAAAACCTTTTCATTTTTTTGATCGTTCAAATGAGGAATGTTACTTACTCTCAGCTCAGATGGCGCCTTCCAAGCTGACGTTTGTTGTGTAGTTGTTCGTATCATGTCAAACCTTCTGTTCATCTCATCGTGCAATAATCTGGTTTCTTGACGCGTCGCAAGGATTGTCGCCATGCAAGTAAAGAACTGACTGTCGGTTCCGTCGACCTAGCATGAAATGAGAACAACAAAATTAGCAGGATCATTGATACTAAAGCACATTTGGTAAAATGAAGACTTACATTACAAAGTAACCGTCCCAGCGCTTGACTCTCATCATCTAGTTCGGCACGGGCTGCCACACGATTGAAGCACTGAAGCCGTATTCCAGACAGATGAAATGAAGGCTTGGTTTCTGCTTGGGCATCTTGAGGTTGTTGACCAGACGATCGGTGTTTTGATTTCGATTGGTGTTTCTTCAAACTCAAAGGGGGCGGAAGGCCAAAGCTGTCGTCGTCTTCCTCGGTGCCATCGCCTAATCCATCGTCATCGTCATCGTCATCGCCATCGTCATCGCCATCGCCATCGCCATCGCCATCGTCTTGCTGGTTTCCAGTGGAAGCACAGCCGTCATCGTTCTCATTGTCTACTCCATCACCAACATCTTGACCTTATGAGAAGAAAACGATTAATGTGAAGAATTTCCAAAGTCCAATTTATGACTTACCAGATGGTGGGTTGAATTGATCCAGATCGTTCTCTAGGATGGGACTGAGGGACTTTTTCTTCTTGCCTTTGATTGAAGTTTTGGAACTCGGAGTTGGACCTTTGGATTCGGCACGAGCGGTCGAGCTGCGCAATCCACGGCTAACTGTTGAAATTGAAGCCTTGGATGGTTTCTTGATTTGATCTGTGGACGCAGTATTTGCAGGTTTTGGAGTGTTCGTGAGTTTTGGAGTCTTCACAGTCTTCACAGGTTTCGGTTTTAGGTTCGTGCTTGGGATCGGTTTCGGGTTTGGTTTTGATTTTGGTTTCGGTTTTGGTTTCGGTTTGGGAGTTTGTTTTGATTGGCTTGAAGTGGTGGCCACACAGGTGGCAGGTCGTTTGTACGGCTCGTAGCGTAGAGACATGGATGATACGTGAAGAATGGGGAAGATTGGGAAGGTGGTGGATTTGAGTGAAAGTTGAGTTCGATCAAGATCGAGAGGAGGTTGAGACATCTGTAACCTGTACAAGATGTGATCTGTGTGTGACATCTTATTGCTGACACCTGCACGATCATTGAATCCAAAGAAGAAACTTGAGGTGAGCTTCACATTCATCGCCTCACAAACTCCAACATCAACCACCGAGTCATACTACCTATCCAATGATAGAAGCTCTTTACAGTCCAGGACACATATATCAGCCTGGTACAAACCACTTCCGAGATGCTGAAATTCGCTGGTCGTTGGCTATGGAAGATTTAAAACAACACGTCAAGATTGAAGAAATTCTAGTTATTGAACATCAATCAGATCGATTCCAACAATGCGTAATCCATTTGATTTTGATTGGTCGTGACATTTTCAAGAGTAACGGAGAAATCAATGGAGAAATCAATTTGGACAATAATTACACCTCTGCGAATCATCGATATTGGGCATTAGCTTTAAACGAATTAAACAATCATATCAAAGTGGAAGAACGTGAAACATATGATCATCAATCAGACGAATTTCAAACCTGTGTGAGAAAAATGATTCTGAGTTGTTACGCTATTCGCAAGGTTAGACATGAGGCATCGACCATTGTTCGTTCATTTTTTGGGTGAAAAAAAGAAGTATTATCAATTCTCACCGGTTTTGTAAGCAAAGAACTTCTCAGTTTCACTTGCTAAGACACCAAAACTGATGCAAAGCTTTTGAACCGATTATCGTCTTAGGAGTCAATTCTACATTGTAATGTATTGTACCTTGAATCGATATTTTATTATATTGTTATATTGTCACACAGATGAATTTTTGTTAGACCATTGTATTTCTTCAATTAATTGTTTTGAAACTTTGGGTGTTTGCGTTGAAATGAAGATTTTTTTTACACCATTAACTTCTTGGATGAAACCACAAGAGTGTGAGAAACAAAACATACAACTTAAAAAAGTCCCAATTTTAAGAAAACGACGAGAAAACAAAATGAAACAAAAAAGATCAAGTGGAAGGTCCAGCAACAGGGAATTGAGGTTGGTCACATTGACTTTCCCATATGGTGGAAGGTGTTTGGGATCTTGATTCGCCTGAGTCAAGTACAACCTCTTCCAATCGTCTCTTTTTTACAGGTCTTCTCTGTACGCCTCGACCAAGCAACCTTTCTTTCACTTTTTCTCTTTTTTTCTCCTTTGCATCATCTTTTTCTTCGATCGGTTCACGCCAAGTCTTGATCCCAGTTTGAATAGCAGTAGTCCATTCCACTGGGGTGACTGCATTACACGGTAGCTGCGCCCAGTCTTGATGAAGTTGAGTGGAATAGAACGCCGCAGAGTTGATAACATAATTCTTGGTTTGAACATGAACTATGGCGAAATCGAGAGTTTTTGAGACTTGACGTTCAATCAATATTGGACGAATCTTTTGAACCGTACACTTGCTTCTGTGACACTCATGCTGGACATTCAAGACTGCCTCGATATCCTGGAGAGCTGGTTCAGCAGAGAAGAATTACGTGAGGTATTTTCAAAACACTTACTTGAGGATTTATCCATCCACGAGGAGAGTTTTTCTCTTTTATATCCCTCATGCCGTAAAAATCATTGATTCCGCCAAGCTCAAACTTGATGATTTCAACCTTGATTTGACGCAAGGCACACCCACCAACGCCCCAAACCCTGATTACTCGACCAATGGTTCTAACAGTGGCCGCACAATCTTTTACCGAAACAAAACATTCTGTCGTGACACTTTGCTTGTTTTGCAGACTGATTGATTTCAGCACTTTCCAATCTTTTGCTGCGAAAGCATGACATATAGCCTTGGGAATCATTGCTTCGGGATCATCAGGTTGCAAAGGTTGTTTACCTAAATATAAACGAAGAAAGTAAGTGCGCTGGATCACACTGAAGGTTGAAGGTAATCAACTGAAGGTAATCAACTTACGGCCGATCTCAATCTGATGTTCTTTATTCCACGAGGAGTTGTAACCCAACGCCTTTTGCAATAGGATGTTTGTTTGAAATATCATTTGAACATTTGGACTTGATCTAATATAAGTTTGGGATTCACAATTGTAATTGTAAGACCCCGCCGTGATTGATCTCATCAAGCGATTGTTGTTAGAAGAATTTGCTATATCGCGCCCCGGACTGAGATGGTTTGAATGTACCGATGAGTGCCTTGTATTCCCATTGAAAGATTTGAAGTTTTCTGTAGCAAAAAGGCAAGCTGGACCAAACCTGTCAATAGAATCGCATAAATGAATGAGCATATGGAATTTTGGTTTATTGCACCATTGAGCCGACATTTGAACTATTGCTTTGAGAAGATGTTGAATGCGAATGGAAAGTTCATGGCGATAAGTATCAATATCAGATATTTCGGTTTGGAATAGATATGGTGCAAGATTGGAGAGCGCCTGCCAAGTTTCGCGCTCTTCTGGTGTCAAATTACATTCAAAAAAAATGAATGGTGCTGCTTGAAGGACAGCCCGGAACTCTTTACCATTGAGACTTTGAAAATGTTGGATCATGGTTTTAGGCTGAATAGGTGGAATGTTTAGACCCGACGTGTTGAATGATCTCCACCGGGTTCGTATGCTGTTCTTTTCGCTTGCTGTGCATTTCTTCATTTGATGACGTAACATATACTTGCCAGAACCTAAAAGTACCACATGTAAAATCTCTACAGGAGTATCCCGATGGCCATCAAAGCCTGGTTGAGGCGCATCCAAAAAAAGGCAGTCAATTTTCTATAATTTCCATACAGACCATGAACCGACTGAACAGAAAATACATACCCTCAAGACAGAGAAATGGGTTGAAGATATGCTCGCCAAAATTGTTATTCAATTCTTGGCAGAGACCGGCAACATCGTCGTTGGAGAGTGTTTTATCTCGATGGAAGTTTTGAATTATCCTTACAAACTCCATATTCAGTGTAATTCTTATTCCCAGAGTTGAAGATTGACTGTCGAAGAGCGCAATTGTTGCTGGACGCTGCGCAAGCTGCCAAAGATCTTTCGTACCCTTGATTGTAGCGCACCAGTCTCGTATTGGCAGGGATAACTACATTGATTACAAAAATGGGTGTCAGTTTTCATTGAAGGGACATAAAGATAGATAAATGAGAGAAAATAAACTTACTGGCCTTCCGCTTTCGTCGACTCCGAGAAAGTTGGACACATATGTGGTGGTTTTTTTTGCGGCTAGTGAATCAACCTGTAAATGGCAGATTCTGCAAGGCGTTAGTGAGCTTGAGGGATTCATAGTATTGCTAACTTCAGAATGCATTGGCGAGTCGCCTAAATGCATTAGAACCATCGTCATCACAAAAACTTCGGCTTTAATCTTGCAATCATACGCAACAAAGCCTTCAGTAGATAGACCACTTTTTGGAATCAAAGTTAAGATCAAATTCAACTAGTAATCTAACTGATGGCCAGAATCATTCCAGAAGACTTACTTGATACTTTCAATCACCGGATCAGCCAGTTCCAGCGCTCCTGCCGTATTCGAAGTGGTCAAAAAGTGACAATTATACTCCTGGTTTGCCAGCTTTGCAGGCAAACCAGCCAAAGTAAAATAAAATGCAATATGTTTATTCCATCGTTTTGAAACGTTCCCTGATAGATCATCACAGTATAGAGCCAGAGGTATATGGCAAATGATGCGGCCACCAGCTTTCGTACGCCAAGGATTTGTGAATGGTACTTTGGTGAAGGCTCCTACAGAGCGCTCTGAAATCGGAAGAAGATCAGAATTTGGTGGGTGGCATGCAAAACAATGGGATCACAAAAGCTCACTGTACATAAATTCGCCACAGCGGTCCTTGAGGAGCTTACCTGGACGTAATTCCACTTTATCAAACGATCTCCAAAAGCTATTCACGTTTATTGAGGATAATTCATTGGAGTCGAACTTTGAAACTGACGGAAATTCTATTCGGATCGTCAAATTATTGTTGAGTTGTTGGTTCGTTGGCACACACTTTGCCAATGTATTGGATCCCGAACGGTAGAAATAGACTGGAACTACGAGTTGTTTTGATTGTAGTTGCACAGGCTCAAATAGATAAAAATGTCCTTGGGGCCGCTCGACCATCTGCACACGCAATTTGCATTCAAGTTCCTCACGCCATTTCTTGGATTGTATCAATGAGTTGACTTTAGAAGTCGAGTTTGGCTGGACCGGGATGAAGTCAAGATATTCTCTAACATAAGGATTACTGAGTTCCTATAATGCCACTTATCAATAATCATGAAACTGCTGTAGTCCCGAAAACATCTGCTTACCTGCTTCAATATCTGCTTGACCTGCAGCCCAAAACACGGCTTTTCAAGAGCGCTGGTAGTCTGCAACACGGTGAAATCATATCTCATCTTGAGCTTTCGGCGAGCCTCTTGCAGACTTTTGTATCCTGGGAGCTTAATGTTGAGCAAACCAACAAATGACCGTACACGTTCGTATTGCAATAATGACATTGTAGTCCTTCCTGAGCCTAATGTCAGCAGACCCACAAATTGCTAATGAGAGAGACAGATGTTGCTCATTAAGACAAAGATCTAATAAGATAAAGCCATAATACTTGCCTCCAAACTTGAAAAAGGAGCCCAAGAAGGGTCATTCCCATCTATATCAGCGCCGTCACGTTCGTTTGGGTCATCAGAGATATGTGATTGACCATCATCTTGCTCATCGGGTTCACTAATCCTGGTTTTGTTGTCGTTGTTGTCGTACTCGTCATTGTCTTGGCTGTCAACACTGAGAGCGGGTGATTTGAAAATTGAAGTATGATCTCGAGCGTAAAGATCCAGCAGTGTCTTTCTTCTATCTTCAGCTTCAAAGTCATCTTCGTCAAGATCAACAGGAGACAAGTAAATTTCCTGATCACCGGGATCACTCTCAGGATCTGATTCAGACTGGAACATGACATTTCCATTTGAGATGATTTCGCTTCCATCGTTTGTGTTCTGATTGTGTTTTTGATTGCTGTGGCGAATGAGCCACTTTTCAAAGTTTTGAATGTGATTTTGTGATGCACGATGTTTCCTAAGCGAATCGGGTTTCAATGGACGGCTGTCCCAAGCAGCACAGAAAAAACGAGCGCTGTCTGGCCCTTCAGGCGTCTCAATAAAGCCTTGCGAATAAGAAAGGTGTGGTGTCAGATGCGCAATATCGGATAAACTTGTAGGAAATTAGTGTTACATTTCTCTAGCGCATCGGTTTTAGCCATGGTTCAATAATCGACGGACAAACAACGAGTGAACAATAAGAATGTCAACTTGAATAAATGAAAACGAACAATGATTTGAAGATCGTGTTCTTTCTTGAAGAAATGAATAATGAGAGAGATGAGAGATGAAGTGTCAAGGTGATGACGAACTTCAGGACATAACGAAGATGGCGACGATGTTTCAGAAAGATCTTAGAAGGGAATCGCATCCTTTGGCCCTCTGCTTTTGATGAGCTCAGCATGTTCGAAAGTGATGGATCGCGCCACCGGTGGATTGCGCTGCTCTTCAGACTTCGTCAACTGGTTTATCAATGGCAACAGTGCCGTTGTTCATTTACTTTGGGGTACTCAGCCATAAGATAGCCAGTTTTCATCCGCTGGCCCAGACACC